AAGAAAGGAAGAAAGGAAGAAAGGAAGAAAGGAAGAAAGGAAGAAAGGAAGAAAGGAAGAAAGAAAGGAAGAAAACCTCGGGAGTTGGAAACGTGGTCAAATGGTGGTGTGCAGCCTCCTTCCCTCAGAAGCCAGACACAATCCCTGGTTCTTGCCTCAGGTCTCTCTCCTCCCTGACCTAGGTTACAGTTGAACCAAGGCCAGCACTTTCAACTTTGTGAGCAGAAGCCACTTCTGACTTTCCTGGCTTCCCTTTTTCTGAGACTTCTTTGTCCGCAGTCGGAGAAAGAGGGAAGTACCCCTTCCACTCCCGGGCAGCACCTGGCAGTGCCCAGCAAAGCTGACAGAGGGAGGAAGGGGGTGAGGGGCGGGCAGAGAGGGGCTGGGCGGAGCCTTCAGAGTCTGAGCAGGTGCTGGCTCATGGTGGGGTACTCTAATTCCAGCACTCCCGAGGTAGAAGCTGGGGAACCCCTGCAGGTTTCAGACCAGCCAGGACTACACAGGGAGACCCTGTCTCAAAACAAGCAAGCAAACCAACCAATAAACACCTCAGAGTCTGAGTAGGTGTTCAGACCTGTGGACCCTAGAACCAGTTTGGCGGGAGTCCCAGCCCTGCTGTGAGGGCCGTCCTCTGGGGAGGGGATGCGCTCCCTGAGCTGGCCCGGGGAGAAGCTATGGTGTCTGATTGCAGAAGCCAGGCTGGAGAACCAGCGTGATGACCTCTGAGCTGGCCCTGACCTTTGTGCCTGGCTTTGTCATGTCTGGTAAGAGGTTCCTCCTTTTGTAGCAGAGAGAACCCTTCAAGAAGAGATGGTTCGCCCTGGACGCCCTGGAGCGGAGGCTGCTGTATTATAAGAACCCCCTGGTAAGAGCCATTCCTGACACCTCCTTAGCATGTTCCCAGTCAGTCAGGGGGGCTAGTGTTGATCTCAGAGCATATGGAAAGACCCTCTCCCAGAATCCCAGGACAGGGGAACCTGTGACAGGAAAGCCGGTACCCCGCTTCTCCCCTGTGCCCCTGCTTCTCACTGAGCTCCACTCAGGATCCCCAGCACTGACAACTGTGGTTAAAGTCAGGTGCAACCAACCCCTCCTTTGTAACCAGGAGATCTAGAGTGGAGTGGTTAGGGCTGTGGGCTCAGGAACCAGTTTGGCTGGACTCTGGGCTCTGGGCTCTGGCCCGCCATGGTAGAGCCCTTCCCTGGGCTGGATATGCACTTAGCTCTCTATGCTGCATTTCCCTTCTTCCCAAAATATCGGCTTAGCATGAATGTCTGACTCAGAGGCGGCCGTGATGAAAATAGACGTTGCTAACATGTAAACCACTTGAGCTGGGTCTGGGGGTACCAGCCTGTAAGTAATCCCAGCGACTGGGGAGGCTGAGACAGTTGGATGGCAAATTCAAAGACTTCCAGGCCTTCGGAATAAATTCAAGGCCAATCTGTGTAACTTAGTGAGACCTTGTCTCAAAATTAAAGAGAGAGGGGAGGAGCCTAGGCTCAGGGGTAAAGGGTTGGCCTAGCATGTCTGAGAGTCTACAGTCAATCCCCAGTGCCCAAAACAAACAAACAAACAAACAAAGTACAGCCTTCGAGTTCCCAATGCCGGGTGTATTCTCTATATGTTAGTGATTCCACTGTGTGCAATATAGATTTTAATGTTTCAAATTCGAAGTCCCTTCTGGCAATGACATGCACATCTCTTTACCAAGCTTGACCTTGGGACTGGCAGGGTTGCGAGGGCCCCTCGGCCCCAGGACAGCCTCTGAGGACCACATGCCTTCCATTTTCAGGATGCTTTTGAGCAGGGCCAGGTTTTTCTGGGAAGCCAGGAGCAGGGATATGAAGTGTGCGAGGACTTGCCCAAGGGTATCCGAGGGAACCGCTGGAAGGCCGGACTCACTGTCATCACTCCGGAGCGGAAGTTCATCTTCACCTGCCCCAGCGAGAAGGAACAGCAGGAATGGCTGGAGAGCCTGCGGGATGTCCTGTCCAGTCCCCTGTCACCCCTCAACCTCCTCAGTGAGAAGTGGTGGGGATGGGTGGGCTTGCTTGGGAGTTCTTTGGGGTGAGGACAGAAAAGGGTTCTTTGACTGTGGTCCCGGAAGGGCCTGACTCAGCGTTTTGAGCTGCCCTTACACTTCCTGCCAGAGAAAAGCACACGCATTGCACATTATTGCCAGAAAGTTCCCTCTGCACAAGTTCCTCTATGCAGTTGTCCCCACAAGCTTCAGGAGGAGTCTGGTCTAGCAGCACTGTACCCACCCAGCTGCTCAGACTCCCCACACCTTTGGCCCTTTTCTCATAAGACAATGCTGCCCTGGTATCCTTAGCTCACCCTGCCAGGCTCCTGCTGGGATTCTGGGATCCTCCCCACCCCCAGGTAGGCTATTTTTAGTGTTCTCCCTTTCCTCACCCCTCTCCCTTGTCTGTCTCCCTCCCCTGCTCCTCCTCTTCACCCCAGTGTCACAAGGAGACTGTTCCCATCTGTAGCCAGCCCTGTGAAAAGCAGATGTGCTGAGTTAAGGAGGAAGCATCTGGGCCAGGGCTGAGCTTCTGGGGCAGAAAGGAAAAGCTCTATGTTTGGGAAAGTACAGACTGAACAGGTGACCCCGACAGCCCCTGGGGGAAGCCAATGTGCCTTCCTAGACTCGCCAGTATAAATGCAACTGTCTCAGCCTGGCGTGGGAGCTATCACCTTTAATCCCAGCACTTCGGAGGCAGAGGCAGGTAGAACTTTGTGAGGTAGAAACCAGCCTGGTCTACAGAGTGATTTCCAGGACAGCTGGGGCTACACAGTGAGACCCTGTCAAAAAAACAAAAACCAAAAACCAAAGCCAACTAAAACCCTACCCCACAACTGTCTACACTGTCCAGTTCCCAAAGCCCAAGACTCAGGAGATCATTGATGACGCGTTTCGGTTGCTGCTCTCTGTTCTCTGTGCACCAGAACTTCTGTGTCTCCGTCCTGCTTTCCTCTCCCCTTTTACCTATGTGTCTGTCTCCTGGCCATCTCCTTCGGTCTGTTTTTTTTTTTTTTTTTTTTTTTTTTTGTTTTGTTTTTTTTTTTCCATTTTACTCTCATTTAAAGTGTCCTTTTGCTTTCAGCGCTGTTCTGGCTCCCTCTGTCACCTCACGCACGTCCCCTTGGCTATTCCTTTCTTCCAGCAGGACGGCACTAGCATGGCCACCCTCCCCAGCCCCTTGTTTCCCTTACAGCGGCACCAGCAGAGAGTGGCTGTGGCCTCAGGTGACCCGTCTCCGTCTCCGAAGAGCTGGCTGGCCACTGAGCCCCTGGAATCCTGGAGAAGTGTTCGCCTCTGCCCTGGTTGTCCAGAAGGAAGCCCCGAGGCCAGCAGCTGCCCCTGTCAGTGAACTCTGTCAAGACCAAGGGTGTGGTTTATCTTCTGGCTCCCAGGATCCTTCCAGCAAACATGTCCTAGCCGCGGGGAGCTGGTACGAGGAAGAATTTAGCTCTCCAAGCTTAGAAGTCTTGAAGGCTTTCTCATATCTGCACCGAGAGACGGGTGCGGGGATGCATGCCTGTCTAGAGGCAGGAGTGTCTTGAGTTCAGTGCCAGCCTAGACCATACAGGGAGTTCAAGTCCAGTCTGAGTTATATAGCAAGACCTTGTCTCAAAAAAGCAAAAACAAAAACAAGCAAACAAACAGCAATAAAAGCTACAGAGAGGAGGTGGAGACATTGTAATAAAAAAAAGGACCCTCAGCATCAAGATTGTACAAATAGAAAAAAATGTAAAAGTTTAATCTGAACCTAACTATGCAGAAATAATCATTCAAATATTACTTACATGTTACTATACAACTATCCTGGACTCTTCAAATATCAATATTAAAAGATAAAATTGGCTGGACATGGTGATGCACGCCTTTAGGCCTATGCAACTCAGCAGGCAGAGGAAGGTGGATCTCTGTGCGTTCAAGGGCAGCCTGGTCTACATATCAAGTTCCAGGACAGCCAGGGCTATATAGAGAGAATTTGTTTAAAAAAAACTGAGGTGAGGGGGAGACACAGACAGACAGACCAAAGACAGGGGAAGTGGTACTATAATTTTAGCATCAGGGAAGTGGAGGCAGGAAGGTCAGAGGTTCTGCTGTTATGCATAAAGAGCTCAAGGCTAACCTGGGCACATGAGACCCTGATTCAAAGAAGAGCAAACAAAAACCAAAAACCAATAGCAAGTCATGGCAACCAAATGCAGTTTGGGATTCTTGACTGGAACCTGGATTTTAAAAAGGGGCTGGAGGTCTGGAGAGATGGCTCAGCAGTTGGGAGCACTGATTGTTTTTCCAGAGGACCTGAGTTCAAATCTCAGCACCCACATGGTAGCTCACAACTATCTGTAATTCCAAGATCTGACACCCTCACACAGACAAACATGCAGACATAAAAATAAATAAAAAAGAGAAGCTTTGGGGCTGGAGAGATGGCTCAGCAGTTAAAGCACTGGCTGGTCTTCCAGAGGACCTGGGTTTAATTTCCAGCAACCACATGTTAACTCACAACTGTAATTCCAGTTCCAGGGGATCTGACACCCTCACACCAATACACATAAAATAATTAAAAAAAAAAAAAAAAAAGAAGCCACTGTAAAGGACATAATTGATTTTGGAAAAATTAGGACCTGAATGCATATTAGCTAACAGTATTGTAAAATTGTGACAAGATGTGTTGTATAGAGTGTTCCTGTTCTTAGGGGACACATGCTGAAGTAAACTCTAAATGATGACTGTGGCCAATTTTTATATGGTTCAGCTAAAAAAAAATCAGTATATGTAGACATGTACACAAATAGAATGCACACCTGTGCATATCTATATCTCTATACACAGAGCACACCACTGATGAATCTAGATGAAATGTAGATGGGCATTTATTTTCCTACCTGTGAACATTTTATATAGATTTGAGTTTTCATATTAAAAAGTTGATAAACACCCAGTCTTCACTCCTCAAAGACAACGGTTTTCCTTCAAGAATCCAAGAATCCAATATCCCTGGAGCCCACGGGGCATGGTGGGTACATCTGCAGACTCAAGTACTCAGGGGGTTTGTCAGGACCACTTAAACCAGAGAGTATGAGAACACCCCAGGCCACCTTGCCAGATACTGTCTCCGTGTTCCTGGGAGGGGCTGGAGGCAAAGCTCAGTGGGAGAATGTGTGCTTGTGTTTGCCAGGAACAGAGGTGACCAAAGGGAGGTACTGGGGTAAAAGTATTTACCAAACCAGAACAGATAGAAAAAATATTAAGTAAAATGCTGCAAGAGATAGAGACTTGGAGACATCTCAGAGAGCACTCCCCTGCTCCCACGGAAAGGGCGTTCCTGCATAACAATTAAGGGGAGTTACTCATCTCCTGCGCTGGTTGTTGTATGGATATCTATGTTCATATAAGTGACATCTCTCCATCTTGCTAGCTATTACATTTCCAGCGCCCGTTGGTCTTCTTGAGACTGGCTCTTCCTGGGCCATTAGAGCTAAGCTCTGAATGTCTGTATGAGGAATCGCAAGTCATTGGGGCCAGGCTCCACACAGTCAGGGTCTGGTTGTTAAAGTGGGGGAATTTTTCCTTGTAGTTTTAGGCTTCCCGCCCTCCCCCACTAGGCTTAGCATACTTCAATCATTAGCACTTAAATAAAATAATAGTTTTTAATTTTTTTCCCAAGAGGGCTGCAGAGACAGCTCCGTGTTTAAGAGCATTTGCCCACAGAGGACTCTAGCTTGTAGCACCCACACGGAGGTTCACAATGCTAGCTCCAGTTCCACGTGATCCAGCGCCCTCTTCTGGCCTCCACGGGCACTGCATGCACAAGTTACCTTTACATACACGTGGATCAAACATACACATACAGCAAAACTAAATCTTTAAAATAAGTTTTTTACTTTTGGTTGTTCGAGACAGGGCTTCTCTGTGTAGCCCTGGCTATTCTGGAACTCGCCCTGTAGACCAGGCTGCCCCCACATTCACAGAGATCCCTCCTGCCTCTGCTTCCCGAGTGCTGGAATTAAAGAAGTTTGCCATCACCACCTGGCAAAAAATAAAAAATTTTAAAAGGAAGAAAATAGGGTAGGTTTTCTGGTTACCACTGCCAAGCTTAATTTTTTTTTTTTTTTTGATACAGGGTTTCTCTGTGTAGCCTTGGCTGTCCTTGTTAATATTCTGATCCCTCCCCTTGGCATCACTGCATCTGCCCAGCATGCCAGCATGTTTCCTTGCACGCACGGGATGCCCTCGGGTCCATTCCCCCACCCCCTCCCCGCATATAACAGTAAATCATAATAGTCCTGGAACAGGCTAACCCCCTGAGTGCTGGGATTAAAGGACTGCCTGGCTAAAAAAAAAGTTTTTAAAAAGTTCCTCAGAGAGCCGGGCGGTGGTGACGCACGCCTTTAATCCCAGTACTCGGGAGGCAGAGCCAGGCGGATCTCTGTGAGTTCAAGGCCAGCCTGGACTACCAAGTGAGTTACAGCAAAGGCGCAAAGCTACACAGAGAAACCCTGTCTCGAAAAACCAAAAAAAAAAAAAAAAAGTTCCTCAGACAATTCCATTTTTGTGCACATTTGAGAAGAAATAGAAACTCAGACAATAAGAAAATGATGCCGCCTTCATTACCTCGGTGCTTTGGAAGGCTGAGTTTTCTGGGTCCAGTTCTGCCATTAACTTGAGAACACAAGAAAAGTCATTTCACTGTTTTTATATTTAAAATGAGGAAGTCAGGGAGGTTGGATGGCTCAGTAGTTAAGATCCCTTTCTGCTTTTCCGGGGGATTTGAATTCCCAGCAATCACATCAGCTATCTCGGAAGTAAGTGAAAGGACCAAGCAGACGCCATAACAGGCTGCTCAGTCTTCTCTCAGGATCAACCTCAATTTCAGTTTCCTGAGACTTGAGCAGCAGTTTCTGGGAGGGCCATGAACAAAAGACATAGTCCTTGCAGTAGCTCCCTTTCTGCATGTACTCTGACTGCTCAAAGTTCAGCCAGATGTTTACTGTCTGGGACCCCTCACCAACTTAGAGTTATGTGCATGAGTCAAGGACAGAGCCTGGACCACTGAGCCAGCCCCCACAGTCAGTACGTGCTTGGCCAGCCAGCCCCCATGGTGGCTCAAGGACAAAGCCTGGGACTTGTACTGGACTGCCCCCAAAGTGATAATTGTAACCACCAACCAGTAAATTCGAAGGTTACATAGCCTCACCCAGTTAAAAGAGAACAGAGGTAAAAGTAAACCAATCCGAGTTGCACCCGTGCAAACCCCCCCCCCCCAACCCCCCTGAAGGGCTTGTGGTTTTTGTCTTTAAAAAGCCAGCCTCACAAAGAAAGAACAACTCCTCCCTGCCTCACTGTATTGGGTGTAGGAATGAGTTCCCTGTCTAGACTGGTATCTACAGAATAAACCTTGCTGTTGCATTCTGGACATCCTCGGACTTCAGTGGTCTCTTTGGGGGGTCACAATCTGGGCATAACAGTAAGTACCTGTGACTTCAGCCCCAGGGGGATTTAGCCTCTCTGGCTTCCATGGGCACACACATGTGCACACATGTTTAAAAATTAAGTTTAACCTTAAAAAGAAAGAAAAAGAAAAAGAGGAAGCTGCACTGATTGGTGAAACTCGATGTAAATTACATGTATTTGATCACTTCCCAGGTGCTGGGCTACCAGGCAGGTGCCAGCGGGTGGTCCCTGCTGTTGCATATTGCAGCCTGCAGGGGGCAGCAAGCGGTGAAGTGCTCAGGCTGCCGTGAAGCGGTGGGTGGCAACCAGCCAGCTGCAGGGGAGGAGAGGGAATCCTCCTTCCTCCTTCCTCTCGAGATAGTGACGTTAAAGTTGAAAATTTCCAGATTGTGCAGGGGTTAATCAAAGGAAAGGGATGAGGAAAATAATTCAAGTTGAGGAAAGAAAATGCTCATAGGCCCCAAGCTAGGAAAAGAGAATTGAAAGAAATTTCCTATGTGGCTGAAATGTGAACAGATGCCCACGTTCGGTGGTTTCTTGTTTCTTCTCCTTTCAAGCAAGGAGAATGGAGAAGTGTACTGGATGTTCTCCGGTCTCTCCAACAGACTGAGCTGGTCTTTAAAAGATATATATATATATATATATATATATATATATATATATATATATATATAATATCATATATATATGTATATATATATTCTAAATGATAGTATCTTATATAGCCCAGGCTGGCCTTGTTTTTGTTTTTTGTTTTTTTTAGGCAGGGCCTCTCTATGTAGCCCTGCCTGTTCTTGAATTCTTGAATTCACTGTGAAGAACAGGCTGTCCTCAACCATACAGAGATCTGCCTGTTCGCCTCCTGATTGCTGGGATTACAAACATGTGCCTTCATGTCTGGTGAGATTCTCTCTGAATTTACTGGACTTTCTTTGAATTCCCCAAAGAAGCAGCAATATAAATTCTGAATGTTTCTTCCCAGAATGAAGCTCCCCGGGGAGGTGAGCCCTCTCTAGCTACTAAAATTCTTTGGCTGTATCTGCTGCAGTGGCTGGTAGAGGAGTGGGGTTCTCAACCTGTGGTCCTGCGACCCCACTGCCAACCTGCTATCTCTGAAAATATTTTCATTACGATTTATTTTTTTTTAAAGATTTATTTATTTATTATGTATACAGTGTTCTGCCTGTGTGTACGCCTGCAGGCCAGAAGATGGCACCAGATCTCATTACAGATGGTTGTGAGCCACCATGTGGGTGCTGGGAATTGAACTCAGGACCTCTGGAAGAGCAGCCAGCACTCTTAACCTCTGAGCCATCTCTCCAGCCCTCATTACGATTTATAATAGCACCAAAATTATAGTTATGAAGTAGCAATGAAAATAATCTTATGGTTAGGGGTC